GTGGGTACCAGTGAGCCGTACGTTTGTGAGCACGAACGGCGCACTCGGGTGGTTACGAGAGAGACCACGGCCATCTTTCTCTCAGATCGTATTATAGCTCTAACGAGTGTGAGCTGACGTCCTGAGACTCGCGGATGTGTCGCCGCAAAACCAGAGTTGCACAGAATGGAGGACGAGTCGGCAAATGCTTGCTGGCGTCACGCAGAGCGTGTGATAAGCAGACTGAGAATTTTCTGTCGTTGCATACCATCATGCCCAATCATAATTGCTCGCGAATACGGGCGCGCGCGAGAGCCTACGCATAGCGTGTAGCTATACGCGCATGCGTATGCGCCTTCTATGTTATTATATTATATATTATGTTTTTTGTTTTTTCTCGTCACACGACGTCTAGTTTTATATCTATACAGTATGACTGCAGGTATAATAAGAAGATAGAGAGCAATTAGAGTGATCACAAGGTGTGTTCACGAGATGAGCAAATCGACCGCCATGGGCATTCATGATGGCATGTCCGCATGCTGATCTGCACCCTGATGGCCTGGAGGGAGGAGCGTTAAAAGGGAGAGAGCGCTAGACGACAACGAAGCCAGCGGAGAGTGTGGCTGTAGGTGTGGTCCACTTGGAGGCGCAGCATGGAGGCGAGTCTTTGTAGAACGAGTTGGCCTCCCTGGCACGACCACCGTTTAGCAGCGCGCCCTTCTATGGAACAATCACCATGTTTTAAAATGGCGTAACCGCTTTTCGCGAGCCTTCTCTGCCACTAGCCTTGTGACCTGACGCGTTTTCTCGGCGTAAATTCTTACCCGCCGCGTTGTTCGGTTACGCATTTGGAAACAAACGGTCTAAGATACCCTTTGACACACCCGTCGTGCCGTGCGTGCGCGACCTCTCCTACGCGCACGCGCACGCACCACGGAGAGGAGGTGCGGGCACATCAAACGTCCCTAGATGTCCGAGCATGCGGCATCATGTCATCAAGTATCATCATAGCTAGCTGCGAAAGGAAGTGGCTCTGGCTGGTGTGTCAGGAGGGCCAAGCCCTGCTATATCTCGACGATGTGTTATATGTCCCGTGTGTGTACCTCGAGAACACTCGTAGCCTTTGCAAAACGCCAGTGTGCCGTTCTGCAGAAAATGTTGGAACTCAGTGGGCATGGTGTGACTGGGCTTACGTGGCGAGCATGCGACTTAAGGCGCACGTGATACAAGCGATGACGGTGTGGTGACACAAGTTGTTAATGGTATAGTCTGCGCACTGTAGTTGGGTGCGGGCGGCGTGCGTACGATCAGCCAGTATTCTCTCCTCTTCTACTCTCTTACTTGCTCACACCCTTTCTTCCCCAAAATCCCTCTTCTCTCTACCATTCATAGTTATAGCTGGAAATGTTCCTATGTGATGGCTACCAACTGTCTCAAAGGAATGTCCGATGTTGTATGTCATGTACAAAGACTATTACTGTGATGCTGTTAGGGACCTTCTGTGTAGAACAAAGGTTTCTGTTGTGTGGTGATTAGTGTTTTACGTCTTCCCTCAGGAACACAACATCATGTCCAATATGTAGAGAAACGTGCAGACAATTTCATCTAGATTGTACGTCACACTCCTAGTAGCAACTGTTTTCTTTTCTGAACTCAAATTAATTTTGTTGTCTGCATAATCAATTTTGAATAATTATGCAATCAGCAAAATCACGTGTGTAACAATACACTCTTCAACAACATCTACTACTGAAGAGAGTCCTTTATCTATGATGATATCGTCATGTTTACATGATGTACGGCTACTAAACAGACTCCCCTACCAATAGTCATAGAGCAATTCCACCCACTGTCCTCCACTAGCTGGTGAATGGTATTGACTGATGATCCATCGCTCTTTTGCCAGCCACCATGGTACTAGCGTCCACAGAGAGTGGCAGCGTTGAGCTTGTGACTGTAGAGGAGGAGAGGTTTCCAGGATAGGGTGAGAGGGTGATGTGATTGGTTGATCACTGGATGGTAGGGCTGCAAGAGAACACGAGTAGCCATTAGCATCAATTCTATCACATTCAACTGATCACCACATATTGTGGCAGAAAGGGTAGAGAGAGGTGTGGTAAGTTGTTAGTTGGTACCATCTTTGCTCTTCACTTGAAATAGTTCACTGATAGCAGTCGAACTTGAAACACAATAGATCCAATCACAATGAGGTATTCACATCAGACGTCAGAATACAGAGGACATGAACGCGCAGTATTCATTGGAGGGTATTTCTCAACCATTACCTCTGTGAGTATGTTAGAGTTCGTTAGAACTACCAAAACATCAATCCCCCCAAAAAAGTTAGTTCCCTGTCACTAACGATAGCCAGAGTCAGATATGGACATGAAGGAAAGTTTCCCTCCATTTCACTGTATACAACCATATTGATTAGACTGAGTATAGCATCTGGGGTGAAGTATGCAAACACATCAGTGTTGCAGATCTCTCCTCATTACATTGTGCTGTCTTATTAGACACAGCACAGTGAGCTGAGGGAAGATCACATAAATGTAATGCATCATAACATCAAATCGGACCCGAATTGTAAAACTTAGGCTGCATCAGGTACAATTGAATGTCTCATGCAAAGGGTCGTGCAAACATAGTGCCAGTTTAGAGCTTGTATTCACAGGACCTTGGCGGAACAACATGCCACACCACTTTCGAATAATTAGGGTTGTTGGTTTTACCGTAAGAAGCAGCAGAGACACCACTGCACATAAACTATGTGTATGTGCCAAGTTTGCACACTGGTATTCATTCTCTCCCATAGTGTATGTAAGTGCACTGGTATCCCATAGTGTGTGTAGAGTATGAAACCGCCATACAACCACACACTAACACAATCAGTAAATTTCTAGGCATTTTTAAAGGCCTCATGATGCTCTACCACAAGAGTTATCAATGTTAATGTTGCCTACCTTTCGTGGTTTAACTACAGGTGGTATGGCATGGGGTACAGCTGTTGCTAGGCGAGCAGGCTGGGTCTGACAAAAGAGGGTGGAAACACAGAGCAATATTCACGGATATGATTCATAGCCAATGAATAAAAATGGACATCAAACAGCAAGCTATTTAACAAGCAAAAAATGATCAGACAAAATATAGGGATGGTGTCATGTAGCTTTGTGTGTCTTAGCTGTGTAATGACCCCTTGTTCTTTCCTTCTTCATGTTTGGAGCCAATGATTTTACCACTTGTATAGGTTAGGATGATCCTAAAACATTGCAGAACCTCATCCGTGGATCCTAGCATTATTCCAAAGACAAGCACAGCAACTCATTTTCACACCCACTTTACACCTTATACATTGCTACATTGCTAGTGCATCTTACACAGCACGGATGGTGCATGGATAGACATACAATAACCTTCGTGCCATTCTCAACTAAAGCCCGGGACCTGAAAATGGACTGGCTGTAGAAATTACCTTATTCACTCGTAAAATAGTTCCAGAGGCAGAAGAGTGCGGAGAAATAGCTCCAGACAAACTAGGGGAGGCTCCAGCTTCTCTGTATCTGTAGGAAATATGACATAATCCAAACCTCCGACAGAGCCTATCACTGACTTACACTGGCAGTTTCGCAAGCTCAGTCATGGGAGGACCGTCTCTCATTGGGACAAGACTCCACGTGATTGTGAAAGGCAGCCAGCTCTCCCTGCCAGCCACACCCCCTGTCCTCGTGGCGACAGAACACACGCAGCGAGTTCACTTGACGCTGGTAAATGTTTATTTAACACTGTGCTCCAATCCTTCTTCTTGCACAGTGGACATGCCCCTCCATCTCTCTGTATTCTGCTAGCAGCTTCCTCTGAGAGATGATTACCACAGCATGATGTGAGGTGAGGATGGAGCAGAACACCAGTTGTCACTGGACAGAAGAAGTCATCTGATGGCTCCTCAACAAATGGATAGTCCTCATCCACTGACGACACTTGGCCTGGCTCCTTGCTAAAAGAGTGCATTTTAACAAAGATGGACCAAATGTTTTCTACCTTTTGTTGGCAGCATTAGACTTAGCAATTGCCGAGCTGTCACTGGTTGAGGATGGAGCCACCTGTAAGAAAAGACTCTGATGTCTGGTTGATAATGCATCGTAGGACCACACAATGCAAAGTCACAGAACAGTTGTGAACATACTATGACGCAAATCGTTCGGCCTTTCGCGACGTGTGAAGCAAAATTGCAGGGACGAATAAAAAACTTTTTCGGTTATCTGCTCGTTGCAAAACTTCGTGTCACAGGCTCAAGCGAAGTAATGTGAACCAGGCTCAAGACAATGACAGCCTACTTACTGGTCTCTGAGGAGGGATTTGGTAGACACAAGTCTGTGTTGAGGTGTGGATGTCTAGTCTAGTGACACTGAACTCCTTGAAGACAGCCAATGCTCTCTTCTTCCTCAACATCTCCACCACTGAGACAGGTACGAACCAAGTGACGGTGAAAGATCCAGTCCCAATGCTGTTTAACATCATGGCACATGTCTGAAGGTCGTAGTTGCTGGCATATCGTCTCCTGAACTTCTCCACGTCCTCCAGTGTTGCAGTTCGGGGCCAGTCAAACTTGACTACCATCTTCCTGAAGCCAGGTGGAGATCTCTTCGAGTGGCCGAGAGGTCAGCCTCACAGAACAGACCAATGTTGTACGTGTTTTAAACTCTTCCAGATCCTCTTGTAGGCGGTCTCTCACTAGCATCGTGCTGAAATCCATATGCTTCAGTCAGTTCTCCGATCAGGTGGTCGAGCAGATCAGGTGCGAGGTAGTTCCAGTAGAAGATTTGAGAGATCCAAACAGCTCAGTGATGGTGCTTTCGCATTGAGCGAAGAGCCTTGTGTTTCTTTCTCGAGAAAAACCTTTCGATGTTCGTGACTGTCCGAATGTTGGTGAGAGTGTAGACTACTGTCATACGACGGCAACACAGCACTTCTGTCAGGCCTTGGATTGTCAAGATCCTTTCAGGCGTTGAAGCTGTCATGAAGCAGTGTTGATTTCAGCCTGCACCATCACAACTGTGCCTGTGGCTAAAACAAAGATATGTAAAGTGGCTGATGATGGTACATAATGCTCTCACCAGTGGTAGGGCTAAGTTGAGAGGATGGCTCAGACTTGACCTTATCATCGTCACCAGCAGTAGTGTTGGTTGCAGACTCTTTGGTGTCTGAGATGATGGAGACATGACTAACTAAGAGAACTATGAGTGGCGCTGATCGTAACATACCAGTAGTAGCCTCAGGTACCACGTCACGTGTTGCGGTAGAGTCAGGGAAATGAGTTGTTTCCACCCTCGAAGCTAGTGCTGGTAGATTGACAGAAGGACTCCTGAGAGTTTCCACAATGACCCTCCATGTCGGTCTGGGCTGGCAAGAAGAATGTGCAGCAGACGCTCTTCGGGATCCTGGTATTGGCGGTGAATTGCCTCAACCTTGTGTTGCGGCAATAGCTTGAGCCCGAGCTGGTAGGACTGGTTCTGCGCCTCCACAAGCTCGTCCAAAATTCCCGAGACGTCGTCTGATTTCAACGTCTCGTCGACCGCTGGGGCTGCACAAGCAACTAACATTATACAGCATATTCACCCTTTGTAATTTCCCACCTTCCGCCATCTGTAAGAGCAGTAGTTTGCCGTGGAGAGAAAAGCTGATCGGCTCGGTTGGTGTGTTTACCTCTACCTTGTATCCGTGGCAACGCCCCCCTAGTCCCGCGGCACCGCGACCGCCGCCGCGCCCTGTATCCTGCGCGCTACGCGCACGCGCGCGCCACACACACCATGTGTGTGTATACCTTCAACTACGTCATTACAGAACACCAGGCACCTAGGCACGCACATAGAGAGCAGAATGATATATACAACGCCAGGGGGGGGCGGATGCAAAAAATAAGGGTTGTTCGAATCGGCGCGCGCTGGTAAGTCACGCCCCTAGCTCAGCGCGCGCGCGCAGTCACGAAGTCCAGTGCCATGCCCATGATAATGAACGCATTCACGCATCCACACTCAGTAAAGGAACACGATAAACTGCGCGCTCGTGCAGCAAATGGAGCATGTTGGAGAACATGACCGTGCCTCGTGTATGCCGTGCATGGCTCGCTCGCACAAAGGCGCCGCCGCTGCTTGCGTGGCTGATGGGTATATATTCGTTCTCCAGGCTCACCTGCTGTGTTGTCCTCCTCTGCGTCCTCATCTTCTACCATTGTCCAGGGGGATTCAAACACGTCATAATGGCCCCACTTCGCTGTATTTCATATAATTGTAGAGGATTGATTACACTAAAACATTATATTGATTCTTTTCATGTTTGTTTTGTACAAGAGCATTGGTTACTCAGGTGAGATCTCCAAGGATTTTGAGTATGTTGGTGTCAGTGGTATGGATGATTCATTTTTGTTGGCCGGTAGACCGTTTGGTGGCTGTGCTATTCTGTATAGAAAATCCTGTGTCACCCCTTTACATTCTCACTCTAATATATTTTGTGCTGTGAAATTATGTGATTTGTCGGGGTCTTCAGTCTTATTGATTAGTGTGTATGTGCCTTCTGATAATACTCCTACTTCTTCTGCCAATTATCTGAATACTCTTGGAGAGCTTGAAGGCTTTATTGACTCGCAACAGTGTGATTGTAATATTATTGCCGGTGATTTTCAATGTTGATTTTGATCATGGAGGTTCTTTAGCAAGTTTGTTGTGTGGTTTTGTTTCTGATAGGGATTCTGTTGTCTGTGATTTGTCTTTTCGTGAGTCTGTTAAGTTTACTTACAAAAGGGATGATGCGGCACTAACTTATCCGATCATCTCCCGCTGTGTTTTATGCTGCATATCAACTGCTCTCTGATTTCTGATCTTCCTTCCTCCACCACATCTAAACGTGTGTCCATTCTCGCTCCACGTGTTTCCTCTGATTCAAACCCACGACACTCTGCAGTCTAGGTGAGCGCTCTACCAACTGAGCTACCAGGGCAACTCAGCTGGTAGGGGTTCGAATCTACAACACAACACAACACAACACAAAGGCAAACCTCAAACCAATGTGCTATGGCACAGTAAACTCTCACTAAGTATGTATATATGTACATGTATGAATATATACCTTCGAGGCTTTGCTTCCCATGTTAGCTTTCTACCATGACCCACCAGCTCCAACTTGTATCTTATGAATAAAGAAAACAACAGAGGAAGAAAGGGTGCAAGTAAGGAAAGAAAGAGAAAGAGAAAGTAATATTCAATCACAACTTTGCACACCTACACACAAACCAACACACCTGAAAGCGTTGGCCTCTTTCTCCGTCCCTATCAACTGAACGACGGCGAAGAACTGCTGGTGTCCCTCGTGTCTCTCCTGTTTTTCCAGAACCAACATGAAGTAGTGGTCAAAACAGCATTGCATCATCACCCAGTCGACGGCCCCTGGCAGATGTATGTCTGTCGCCAAGAACACAATGTCTTCTTCGCTGAGTGTTGTAATGGTCTTGTGAGCAGTGAGCAAGTGGTTAAGAACGTCGTCTAGTGGACCTTCCTACTTGCAAGAGGTGCCCGGGCAAGGACAAGTGTACGGGCGGCGTTCACAGTTTGTGTATGTAATACAGGGAGTGAGGTGGAGGATAAGGTAATGTCAGTAATACTGAGAGAGAGAATACCTCTAGCTGCCACCCAGCCTCTCACTTACTCCAGGTACAAGGTTCTATATCCTGCCAGCTCTTCCACATTCACACGGAATGTACGTAACACATTTAGGAACTTGAAAGTTTGATTGTCTCATCTACTCCATGACCATAATAGCTATGGCAGTAGGGTGTAGATGTAAGAGTTAGGGGAATATCCAGGGTTTTCCCTGTTGCCTAACAATGCGTGTATGCTGCTTTTACAACGTGGTAATATATATGCAGGCTAGAAAGGGTCCTAATGTGGTATATGGGAGTTTATGGTTTGTTACAACCTTTGGCTGACGGATAAAGTTTGACTATATGCTGTGCGAATTTGTCATACACATATTATAGTAATGTGTGAGAGGCAACTAGTAAGAATCCATGTGTGAGAGCCAATATGGTATAGCTCCTGTGTCCTCCCAGACAGCCTGGACTGGATCCAAGACCTGCGGTGTTTGGAGTGGTCGAGAGACTGAATGACATCATCCAGGATGACCCCACCCATACTGACCAACAGGTCTGCCCTCTCCATCTCTCCTCTACTTCACACTTTCTCTGTAAAAAAACATTTGTGGGCGGGCTACTCAGGGGTAAGCAGTATTATGAACCATATATGCCAGATTTCTTCCATGTGTTTCTGGTGAGATTACCGAGTGTTGGGTGACATAATATTGTTTTGTGTGTCAGATGTACTCGTGTGGGTCGCTGGCTCCCAAGATGAGGAAAGGTGGATGTATGGACACCCACTTCCAGCGACCAGTAGAACCCTGGGAGAAGACTGAGGGGTCAGTGCTACTGTTTGCACATATTTACGTATCGTAGTCAAACAAGCAAGCTTCTTGCAGTTGTTTTGTTAACCAAGCACCAAGCCCCAGCTACTTGCAATTTCATGCTCGTATACTGTTGCCTCACAGTTTGTTCTAGTATCCACTGTTGTTCCCCTCCCTCTGCCCTCTCACTGTCCCTCTACTTACACCAGATGTATCAACCTGCTGGCAGAGCAGAGTCAGCAGAGGGGGATGGGGGACAAGGTGTCCTCCCTCCTGCCGGCCCTGGGGGAGGTGGCCCATCACCACAGCTACCGCCAGCACCTCTCTCTCCTGGAGACCCTGAGATGCACTGGCAAAGGTAGCTGCTGCAGACTGTCTCACTATGCTGAGTAAGCATCTTGGCCACGTCATTCTCAGAGGTCGAATAGAGCAGCACTCTCCTCAGTAAGTTGTGTCTTACGTACACTACATGCTTAACGATTGGAAGCTTGATTCTGCATGGGGTTGGTGTTGCTCTTCTGCGTGACACTCAGACTATGTCCTAGCTCCGTTTTCTCTCCATTTTTTCATGAATTATGGGGCTTAAGAGAGGCTGTTATGATGCCGTTGCTAGAAATGCATAAGCAATTCTCTATGTGTGTGCATATGAATGGGAATAGGGGGCGTTGCCTGTTTTGCCAGTCAAGGAATGTTATTCTTCATTGTATGTGCAGGCACCTTGCAGTGTTTGATACCACTGTTGCCGGCCAACCTTAACAACTTGGACTATGAACTGATGTACTATTTTGTATGATGCAGAACATGTACACTATTGAAACCAACCTACACCACGCCAAGCCTGCTTTCTGTGTAGTTTACTGGTATCATTCTAGGCCTCTCTGCAGTAAATGTTCTGCCAGCCATAATATTGTTTATTCGAGAACAACCGTGCTTCCATAGTTGTGGATTGTGTGATGGGGTTGGGGGTGTCAGCATGCTCAAATCTGTTCATTAACCATGCTTCATGTATCCCATCCCTATCTTGTCTCCCTTTCTTTTTATACCATCCCTATATGCCTCTTTTAAATTCACAGGATTTTTAATTTGCTAGTAAGCTTTAATTAAAAGTGGGGGATGAGTAAAGGAAGAACACATAATTTAATTATGTGTTCTTAATTTGTGAAATATTGAACTTTTCACGCTCGCTCACCAAAAATGTGTGGCATTCGTTTCTACTATTAGCATCTGATCTATAATATTTAATTTTGCTTTTGTACAATTGGCGAAGAGAAAAAATAAAACTACTAGCTAACTAGCGCTGTTTGACATAACTTACACTACATCAATTATTGGCTCACTTGTAGCTGTCTTTCCATCATATGCTAATCTTCGAATGTGAAATTTGCGTTCCCAACTTCCTTGACTATAATTATTGTGTCATTATGGTGAACAATTACAATCGGGCAGCAATTTGGCGTGCAATCCTGACAAGAATTTCGATAGAAGTACTTGAGGATCAACTGGTTTTCTTGATAATGCAGACACAATATGCGGCCTCCATTTGATTGATCTCTCTCTGTCACATATAAGTATTGGTTATCAGAACATATTCCTCGGAGTGTGATTCCAGGTTTGAACTGTTCAGTAGTAAGACCAGTCTTCATTTTGTTGCATATTTCCACTCCAAATTTCATATTTTCAATATCTACATCCAGGATTCCAATAGCAGCTGTAGTGGTAACGAAATACTTGTCATTAAGCTTAGTAATTCCAATGGGATCAAAATATAATTTCAAGAAATACTGAAGATTCAGGTCCAAGTCCAAGATGCATACCTTTTTGGTAAACCGGTGCGCAAACAAAAACATGTTTATCAGTCACCAAAATTCCATATGCCTCACCAAAATGTTCTGCACAGTGCTTATTTGTTTTTCGCACTGGATTCAATTCTTCATCAAATTTAAACACTTTTGAATTGATACTGCAACATAGAGCGTATAGAAAACCATAATTATCCTTTCCAATTCCACGAACAAATTCCGGTAGGGATACATTGCAAACAAAATTCCCATTGTATTCACATTTGCGCAGAAAGTTTTTATCTCCATTTTCAGTGAATGAATAGTACATAAAATTGTCATCAACAGACAGACCACTAACCCCGCTTCGTTTTCCAACTTTAACATCTTCCCTCCTTATGGAGATTTGGCTTCGCTAAAATAGAAGGTAAAATAAATCAATCATTAGGGCGAAAGTATATAGCAGCAGCAGGTTTGCAACTGGCCCTGATTGGTTTGAGATACTTAGTAGAGAAGAGGGAGGAGAGAGATATTATGGGGAAAGCTAGAGAGTGAGATCCTGAAATATGCAAGTGATTAAGGTTCGTGCAGTGAGTAGGGTCCCCTCTGATGATTGGCGGGTTTTAGCTCTTACTACACTTGTGCCCACAGAGCTATTTCATAACCCTTGGCGCGCATGCGCAGCGAGGGTTACAGTACTCTGTCCGTCTGTCTGTCCGTCTGTTACCACGTTTTCGGCCACCACGCACAACAAACAATGGGTTCAGTGCTACACTGGCTTTATTTTTTTTAATGGTGATTTTCATAGAAGTGTCGCGTTCAGAAGTTGCAACAAACAACGTGTATCAACTCCTGCATGCAATCTACTACTGTAGCTAGCCGGTGTCAGACTCTCCGCGAGCTACTAGCGGGAGACCACGAGTAAACGTATACTAATAGGGTTTGCATTTCAGTGCTTTTCATTTTGCAACTGCTTCCTGTAGCTATAATCACGTGTTGTAGCTTGTGCAAGGTGCGCACGCATACACGCAAATGTGCAATACCCCCCTTTCAATTTTGTCGATCAAGACTGCCAAAAAGCATGGTAACATTCTTTACGCCACTGATAGACATAAAAGAGCAAATCAATAGTCGCAAAATTATCTGTACGTCTTACCTCAGTCTGTTCCAACTCAACTCCTGGAATGTCCAGAGGTTCAATATCGTGTAATTGTGTGTGCTTGTCTACCTGTAAATATAAGCAAGTGTCACTTTGAGTGTTCCATCAGTACGAAGTATCTACAACAAATGCAGAAATCACTTACACAGCCAAGTTTTTCCCCCTATAACACCCAGATGTTTGGCGTGTTTTAGCTCTTACTACACTTGCGTTTGCTTGCCCACAGAGCTATTTTACTGCGCTCATTTTGCAAGTGCTTCAGCTCATCCTGTAGCTATATACTCGTGTTGTAGCTTGAAAATTGTGCCAAGGTGCGCACGCATACACGCAAATGTGCGATACTCCCCTTTCAATTTTTGTCGATCAAGCCTGCCAAAAGGATGGTAACATTCCTTACGCCACTGATAGTACGAGCATAAAAAGACCAAACCAACAGTCTCAAAATTATCTTTATGCCTTACCTCAGCCTCTTCCAACTCAACTCCCGGAATGTCCAGAGGTTCAATATCATCGTGTAATTCAGGCTTGTTTACCTGTAAATATGAAATGAAAACCACGAAGTCGCATGCGCCATACCGCTAATTGATGGGCTGGGCTATCAGTATGCGTTTCTCCGGCTACTAGCTTTTCTCAGGCACGGGCTAGCTACAGTCGTAGATAGCATGCGGGAGTCGATACACGCCCTTCGTTGTGACTTGTTGTGCCTTCAAGATACACAGAGCGAGCGGACCCGGTCGAGGTCTTCTAGGACTAAAATAGGCTGCTTCGTAGCTTGTAGTGCCAGGATAGCTGCAGACAGACAGACACACGGACCAAGTACCGTAACCCTCGCTGCGCATGCGCGCCGAGGATTAATGACGAGTAAACATACAGTATATACAGGTGCTACATATGTATGGTACGTGCAAACGCAGCGGCCAGTTTAGAGCATGTATTCACAGACCTTTGTGACGCATGGGCCACACCCCTTTCTAATAATTATGGTTGTGTGTCTACCATAGAAGGCAGAGAACACCACTGCATATAATGGCGATGGAACCATTTTGTGTCATGTGCCAAGTTGTGCACTGGTATTCATTCTCTCCCATAGTGTATGTATGTGCACTGGTATCCCATAGTGTATAGTGTATGAATACACCATACAACCAGACACCAACACAGTCAGTAAATTTCTAGGCATTTCTAAAGGCCATGCAATACTCTACCACAACAGTTATCAATGTTAATGTTGCCTGCCTTTTGTGGTTTAACTACAGGTGGTATGGCATGGGGTACAGCTGTTGCTAGGGGAGCAGGCTGGGTACTCCCACAGTGTATGTATGTGCACTGGTATCCCATAGTGTATAACGCCATACAACCTGACACCAACACAATTAGTAAATTTCTAGGCATTTCTAAAGGCCTCCCCGATACTCTACCGCAACATTTATCAATGTTAATGTTGCCTACCTTTTGTGGTTTAAATAAAGTGAGTACAGCTGTTGCTAGGCGAGCAGGCTGGGTCTGACAACAGAGGGTGGAAACACAGAGCAATATTCACGGATATGATTCACAGCTAAATGAATAAAGAATTGTTTACCCTTGTTCTCTGAGCCTCAGAGTCCCTCTCGGCCTTCTGGAAAGTGAAATAATTTTTACATCCTAAAACATTGCAGAACCTCATCCGTGGATCCTAGCGTTATTCCGAAGACAAGCACAGCAACTCATTTCACACCCACTTTACACCTTATACATTGCTACATTGCTAGTGCATCTTACACAGCATGGATGGTGCATGGATAGACACACAATAACCTTCGTGCCATTCTCAACTAAAACCTGGGACTGAAAATCGACTGGCTGTAGAGATCACCTTGTTCATTCGTAAAATAGTTCCAGAGGCAGAAGAGTGCGGAGAAGTGGCTCCAGACAAACTAGGGGAGGCTCCAGCCCCTCTGTATCTGTAGGGAATTATGACATAATCCAAACCTCCGACAGAGCCTATCACTGACTTACACTGGCAGTTTCACTAGCTCGGTCATGGGAGGACTGTCTCTCATTGGACAAGAGATCACGTGAGGGTTAAAGGCAGCCAGCTCTCCCTGCCAGCCACACCCTCTGTCCTCGTGGCGACAGAACACACGCAGCGATTTCACTTGACGCTGGAAATGTTTATTTAACACTGTGCTCCAATCCTTCTCCTTGCACAGCGGACATGTCCCTCCCTCTCTCTGTATTCTGCTGGCAGCTTCCTCTGAGATATGATTACCA